TGTGAATGCAGAAAACTTGAAACCATACTTGCCTTGTTTCTCACAAAAGTGGATGAAAAACAAGAGACGTCAACAATCAGGGACAGAAATACACTTGACTGATGAACTGTTCAGTCTGTCTCAGACCGAATCTGTGGAGGGAAGCAAGCTGAAACTAGAATGCTCTTGGTATTGTTCTAGGAGGTTGTCGTTGGCAGCCAGTGACACCCAGTCCATTGTCAACCTGTTGCCAAGGTTGGACTCTTCTGTCCCCCAGACTGGATTTTACCACATAGGCCATCCTTTGGGCCACCCCATCACATGGGACATTGGTAAAGCCCTTTTCAAGGACAGATGAGAAGTCTGCTCTTTAGAAATCCCAACCACTATGGGTTCCATTCTTCTTATCTTCAAAGTCAGACACAGATGAAATGGCTATGACCTCCTACAGAGCTCTAATAATCAGAGAATTTAGAAGATCCTATGACTAGGATATTAGGAGAACAAATCCTCTGCTCATTGTGGGATGGTTCTACCAACTTCCACTAAAGTAAGTACTAAGGCCTCCTTCTCTACAACCTTTTAAAGCGTGTGTATAAATTATATGTCTCCTTATGTTTTTATTTTTTTAATTTTGTAATTATATTTATGTACAGAAAACTTAAGTGTAAATTATTTTTTAACCCAGTTTAGTGGCGAGTTCTTTAGCCTTTGCTTTTTCCAGCTTGGCAATTCGGGCCACAGACTTAGGACGCAGGATGTTGCCTCCCCAGTGGAGGCAGATCTCGTCATATCTGGCATTATAATTGGTCCTAATAGCTTCCACCAGCTTAACCAGAGCACCCTTGTCTTAACCTGTGTGAAGGCAACAGTGGTGCATGTCTTCCTGTGGACCAGGCGCCCCAGCCTGGCCTTTCCCTTGATGATGCAGTAGGGCACCCCCATCTTTCTGCACAGGGCAGGCAGGAAAACCACCAGCTCAGTGGGGTCTACATCATGGGCAATCACCACCAGCTGAGCCTTCTTGTTCTCCACCAAGGTGGTGACTGTATTGACTCCTGCTCGGAGGACAGGTGGTCTCTTACTTGGGACATCTCCTTTGCTAGCAGCTTTCTTCTCAGCACAAGCCAGTAGGCTTTACTTCCTCTCTTGCATTGTCTCTGGCATGTACTTGTGGGCAAGCTTAAGCAGCTGGTAGCTGTTTGCCTGTCCAGGGCCTGGCTGAACTGGTTAATGGCAGGAGGTACTTTGAGTCGCTTATAGAGGATGGCTCTTTGCCGCTGCAGCCTGATGTATGGGGTCATTTAACGAAGCGTGTTAGATCTCTTTTGGGCTGGATGTCCTGCCCAATGCCGAAGTTCTTGGGCCTTTTCTCCAACAGAGGATTGACCACCTTTTTGGCCTCCTGCTTCTTGACGACGGCGGGGGGCCAGGGCCACCTTCTTCCCCCTGGCCTTCTTTCTTTTGGGCATCTTGCTCTGCTGGAGGACAGAGCTCCTTATCTTTTTAAATTGAACCAAAGCAAATGGACTGAAAGCCATCAAAATATGTGCTGGAGGGAGGGCTGGCTGCACATCAATTTCATCCTTACCCAAGATATGTTCACTGTCACTCTTAAGATGAGTGACATATGATCATCCCATTGGTTGTCCTCAAAGTTACTCAGTAATGGCTGGTTGCCAAGGAATTTGATGGACCCTTTGCAGAATGCAGAGAAGAATGATACATTGTCTTTATGTTTAGGAGAAAAAAAATTGAATACATAAAAAAATCTCAAGCTAATACAAGAAATTTAGAATCAAGTCCAAGACCTGACTTCTGTGTATTTCATTGTTGACTATCTACCGTAGTATTATCATTAAGTTGCACAAATGAAACCAGGTAATCTCTGGTTCCATGCAAATATACAAAGAATATTTACCTTAGCTCAATTATCAAACACATTTTCTTTAGGGAGCATCTGGCCTTTCTGATAATGCTAAGGCAGGGCATTTTAATTTCAACACAACATAGACTTTAACTTTCAGCCTCAACAACCTTGTGGATGAGACTTACTGCATCGTTTTTAGGCTTGGTTTAAAAAAAATGAAAAAGGGGGAGCTCCTTACCAAAAATAACTAAGATTTCAAGATAATAAAAATAGAACATTAAAGCAAGCACAGAGTTCAGCTGAGCTTGAGATCTGTTGTCGTTGGCCACATCCTATCCCCATGGAACCTACCCACAGATGGTCTAGAATTAACCACCACTAATATTTAGCAAGTGCTTGCTTTCTTCTGACCACAGTTCTGAGAACTTTACATGTATCAGCTCACCGAATCCTTAGCAAAACTCTAAAACATAAGCCCTACTATTCCTATAGAGTTGGAGGCACAGGAGGGGCAACAGCTAGCTTTGGTTCCATGGACTCAGAAGTGGGGGGTGGGGAACCGTCATTCGCACCCAGGCAGAGTAGACGGTACTATACTAGGTTGGTCCACTTTGTGATCGTTTTTCCAAAACCGAACTCGAGGATTTCCATCTCATGCAGTCTTCCTTATCTAAGACAAGCCCTCATCTTGAGGAAGTCCAAGGCTGCCACAGATAGAGGAAACGCAACGAAGGGGACCTTTTACACGCATAGGCTGCACATCGAAATGTGCGTATAGGGAGCAGGAAGTGGTTTCTCTTGGATCTCCCCATGCCACTGAGGCTCCACAGTGAATGTTTGTAGAAGTTCAACATCTAAGGCCATCAGTAAAAGTGACTCATGTCACACAAAGCCCACCATGCTCCAGTTAAAAAAAACACCGCATACTGGAAGAATGGAGCCTGTGGGCAGAACTAAGTTTGCCTAGATCTACCTTGACTTGCAGATCAAAGCTGTGACCTTGTTCCTGAGAAGTTCAAGGGGGAGGAACCAACATGCCAGGCACCTCGCTTTCCGAGGAGAACGCTAGAAAGCTGTTATGCTGTATGTGAGAGAAGAATAGCAGTTTTCAGAGCGAAGACCAGCGTGTGGCCTGTGCCTCTTTTCTCTAGAACTCTGGTTCTCCAACTTCAGTCTTGACTGAGCGTCTCTTAAGAATGCTTTGAAACTTAGGTTCTGTGCTCACCTAAGACCAAGCTTCCAGGATGCTGATGTGGATGGTATATCCTTTGAAACATCTTCTACAGAATGGAGGCTTTAACATATGGAGCTCCCAGGAGGCTTGGCAGCAACTCCTGATCATGCTCCATCACCAAGGGAGCTGCAGCACCCTTACCATCACCAAGGGAGCTGCAGCACCCTTACCATCACCAAGGGAGCTGCAGAGTCTTTAGAACACAGGCAGCTTAGAGGGTGAGACTAAGGACTGTATCCTAAGACACCTGGTGGACAGGAGAGCACAGGGCCATATTTTAAATGTTTACATGAACAACTCTGACTAATATTTTAGTTCTGAGTGTAAGTTGTATCACAGTGTGACCTACTGTTTACTTAATGACAAGCTTTTTGGGTAACTTCTCCATGAGTAGCTTTCAAAGTCACCCCCTTTACCTACCTATTTCCAGTTGCTGGCTCCTCTATGTCTTACGTTTCTGTTGCTACAGTTTTGAAAAAAAATTCCCCTTTTCATCAAGACTGACAATGAAACAGATCTTAAAGTTATTTAGCCCAATTTCTTTACTCCATAGGCAAGAAAAGGAGGACTCAAGGCCAAATGGTTGACCAAGGACAGAGATATGGGTCTTACACAGGAGACCACACAAGCCAACCCTACATACTCCCAATTTATAGACCCAAAGGATGTCCCTTCTCTCTGTGGTACCACATGTCACCAGCAGACACCCACTGCAGACCATGTCTGGACACTCTTCCCTGGTTTTTCCATTAAAGTAGAGCTGAAAACAGGTATTTTTTTATTCCTTTAAAAAAAATCTTCAAAAATGAATGGCTGTCTCATACAGCAAAAATACAGCAAGTGGCTGGAAAAATCCACTGTGCACAGATAGAAAAAAATGTTATAAATAAATAGAATGATCAGAAAACAGATTAAACATCCAAGTTGAAAATGAGAAATGAAGATAAAAGACATGAAAGCCATGACCCAATCCTGACTCTGGCTCCATTACGCAGCCTCTTCCTGGCCACATGATATTTGAATTCATAGGACTGTCGACTTTGAGAGCCAAAAACAAAACAACAACAGCAACAAAACAATCTCAGATGTCACAAGTAAGGTAACCCAACTCCTCATCTTGAGGAAACAGAGAAAACTGAAGCCTGCAGACTTGAGGACACCAGCCCAAGGCCACACAGTCCCTACCTATCAGTCAGGTGCTAGTCTTCTGGTCACTGAAGGAAGCACAATAGATGAGTTATTTGGTCCCTGGCAAAAAATACTTATCGCTTAACTGTTTGGTATCTGTCTAGTCTGTTCCTTGTTGCTGAGATGAACAGTGTGAGCAAAATCAACATGAGGGGAAAGACATTATTTCAACTTACAGCTCTCAGGTCACACTCCATGCTGAGGGAAGGCTCTAGATAGCAACCTGGAGACAGCAACTGAAGCAGAGGCCCAGGAAGGACACTGTTTACTGGCTTGTTCTCCATGGCTTGCTCAGCCTATTTTTTCATACAACCCAGGACCATCTGCCTAGGGGTGGCCCCACCCACAGTGGGCTGGGCCTCCCACATCAACCATTAATCAAGAGACTGTCCCCTACATACTTGCCTTCAAACCAATCAGATGGTGGCAATTCCTCAATTGACATTACTTCTTCACAGATTAAACTTGTGTCAAGTTGATAAAAAGCTATCCAGCATAGTATCTTTCCATTGTGGTTTTAAAAAGAAATTAAACATATCACCTTCTAGGGAGACGTAATGGTAGCTTTTAATGAGTACAAAGTCCTCCAGACATTTGCTGTTGTTATTGTTGTTGTATTGCCTCTAGATGGTATAAATCAATTACCCATCATGGACTAGCGACTGCTAGCGAGAACAGAGTGGCGGCCAGACACAGATAATTGCTCTGTTACTGAGATTAACACCTCACCATGCTCTCAGGACACTTATGAATCTTGCTGTCTCCATGAAACCAACAGTGGAGGGACTGTACATTCCGGCTGTCTCCACATCTATCTGTAGCCTCCTACACAAAAACAAATGTTACCTTAAAAATTGCATTTAACTAAAGGTCTGTGCAGTGCCGTAACAGCAATCATGGGGAAGGCAGGAGACTCCCCCCCACACACACCCTTTTAAGGTACTTCTTGCTGGTGAGTAGTGAGGTTTAGATCCATGGCTACAGGACAAAGGCTATGAGGGAAAAGGATGTGAAGCTGGGACTGTGGGAGAGGGAATTACAAAGTACAGGTAGACTGCTGCTTATGAGTTATGATGAGGTTACAGTAAGACCCAGAATTCTGGCCTCTCACTCTAAAGGGTCAGTTGTACACCTGTTGCCTGCAGACTCACGGAGGAAGCAAGAAGATTCTTCAACTCTAGAACCACAGGCAACTCACAAGGATCAGGAAGCATAGGAAACTCACAAGACTCACAAAGTGCATGTTTAGTAAACAAGACCCTGGGGTGGAGCTATTTGTGGGTTTGATGGGAAACTTCTATAGGGCAGCTTTTGTGAATCATCTTCCATGACTTGGTAAGCGACTTTGATAACTCAGGATCCTGTGTCATCCAGCTGAAGTTAGTAACTGAAATAAGCTCATTCACTCATGTGGCGTGGTACAGAAAGACGCAGCTCCTACAAAGCCTGGCACTTCCTGCCTTTTCCCCAAATCCAAACAAGCTTTTCACATGAACTGTCCCCGTCTACTAGATTCCAGCAGCAGAGGCTGGAAATCAGAGCAGGATGAAACTGGCTGGGGAGAAGCCAGAGGAAGGCAGTCTGGTTTGTTTGCTACACAAGAGGAGGAGAGTCTATCTCAGCGGTTCTCTCAGGACATTTTAACTGAAAGAGGCCTTTCCTGGGACAATTCTTCCTGAAAGGAGACCCCCCCACACACACACACACCCACACACAAAATATCAAACGGGCAACAAATAATTTTACCATTACCAGGTAATCCGTGTTAATCGCTCCGTTTATATACTGAGGCTGACATACCATTAGAGACCGAGTACGCATTGTAACTAGAGCATTAATAAATTTAAAATGCGCCTATTAGGATGACAGCTTTGGAGGTGCAAAGGAGTAAACAGTTATCACTTGGCAGCAGCCGCTCTCACCCCATCTGCCGAGACTGCGCATACATTTTCAGCTTCCTGAGCAATGATTAGGCCTGTCAGAACCTCTTTAACCTTCTAACTGCTGGTCCCCACTGGCCGTAATTAGAGACTAATGAATTCAGAAGATGCGGGCCGTGAGGAAAACTGCCTTGACAGTTTGTGTACAAATTAAGCCCCAATTACTTCAAGCATCTTTTGCATTGTGGATACAAGTCTCTGTTATTATTTTTGAATATGGTCATTTTAGCAGAATGAAGAACTTGGCTAATGTATTTTGTCATTTTTATGGCTCGTCATAAAGAACAAACATACTGGGGTGGGTCATGAATTTGTGAAATAAACTATTGCAGATTATAAAAAGAAATTAATTTCATCTTGGGAATACCCTACCACCTTTTTTTTTTCCATCCTGATGGATCTACTGATTAATATGGTTAATATTATTCAGATATTGTATGCTGAGGAAGGAGCTTGACTAACTAGCAGCTTGTGTGGGTTTAGACCCTAAGGAAGGAGCTCAAGCAAGAAGGTGTCTCTCTCCGCCTGACCCTGCCATGGGACTTCCTCTAGTGTCAGATAGCACTGATCTCACCTGCTCTTCTGCCTTCTATGATCCCAGCATGAAGTCTGTGAACACCAAGTGTGAGTTCTAAAGCACAACACTTAGATCTCTGGTCACATTTGTTTTAAAACAATCGTGAGTTAGTCAGTCTTGCTTTATTTTCATCCTGTCCAGATACTCATTATGTGTCATTTAGGGGCACCTTCCCCTATTCTATACTGTATGTGTTCACTCAAGAACGCTGTCTATATGCTTTTAGAAAGCCAGCGGGTGGGCACTCTGGCCTAATGCTCACCGCCCTTATGGCCATTGCTTTAGCTAAAGGATACTGCTACTGCTACAGCCTCTGAGTCCCAGAGCCGGTCTTGCCATCTGTGTTGGTCATCCTGCTCCAGGCAGCTCAGGGATTCCTGTGCTGGCAGGAGAGGGGAGGATCTTTACTGACAGCCGGTTGCCACTGAAATTTGTGCATGCAGGAGACCCTATCTCCACTCTCTGCTACTAGACTACTCTGGTTAAAACCCTCCCTTCTGTCTACTTCATCTCCTCAGCTCCAGTCTTATCTAAAGTAGATAGAATGATACTCTCTTCTCCAAACACAAAGGCATGTCTTCATCAAGAAGAAGAAGGAGAAGGAGAAGGAGAAGGAGAAGGAGAAGGAGAAGGAGAAGGAGAAGGAGAAGGAGAAGGAGAAGGAGAAGGAGGAGAAGGAGAAGGAGAAGGAGAAGGAGAAGGAGAAGGAGAAGAAGAAGGAGAAGAAGAAGGAGAAGAGGAAGATTCACTATTCCTGGTACAAAAGGCTCTGAAAATGTGGGCAGATGTGGGCACAGGAAGCATCCTGAGAACAGAGGTTGTCAAGTTAGGTCTGCTCTGACCAGAAGATGTTTAGGAAGAAGTTATAAGTATTAGAAGTAGTGAGAAGAGGGCAGAATATGGATTCAAGGGCTCAGGGTAGAATAAGAAAGAAGCCACAAGCCATGGAGTGAAGCTGGCCACATGCATACATACACACTCACACACACACACACATGCACCCCCCAAAAAAAATGATTTCCTAAAAGCATGCGTGTAATGTTCAGAGCATTCCGCCTTCTGAAGACCAGGAGAGGTGTCATTCATTCTCTTCATTTAGTGTCACAGCTCCACCTCCACACTGATCTGTAGCACAAATCCATTCACTTGGTGCTCTGACAGGACCAAGAGCCTAGCACAAATCCATTCACTCGATGCTCTCGGTGCTCTCACAGGACCAAGAGCCTAGCACAAATCTATTCACCCGGTGCTCTGACAGGACCAAGAGCCTAGCACAAATCCATTCACTCGGTGCTCTCACA